AAAAATATGTGAAAAGCAAAAGTCCAAAAGATGCGTTTTCATTTGAATTAAAAATGATTTGATGCATGGAGCTTAGTTCGTTTTGAGATTGGTCTGCAGTTGGATGAATTCTTTTTAAAACGGATTGGTTCCCACGCGCTTCGAGAATGGCTTAGCTGTTTTTTTTTGTGCTGTAATTGTTCACTGGGATTTCTCTAATTGTTCCATTTTGTACGAAGAAAAAGAAGGGGCTTGCTTCGATGTATGTGTGTGTATACTCTGATTCGATTGTTTTGTGTCAAGGAAAACGATGTCGAAATGCATGATTGACAAAGCAGTCATGGAATCGCGGGAAGCACCATGTCAAATATTTCACCCGAAAGACAGTTGAATGCAGAATATGGCGTCGAGAGTTGTAAGCAAAAGCATTGGGAAAATAAGAGCCAATGAAACGCGATCAGGTTGTGTGATGAACAAATAAGCCAACATTAGTTCATAGTATGTGCAAACGATTTCATGCCATCCATTTAATATCGAGGAAGGAGAAGGAGAAGAAGAAGAGGAAGTATGACGAAAAGATTCAAATCGTTTGAATGGAATCACATACACACTCTGAATCCATGTTGAACATCCATATCCCGTCAGTCAGCAATGGCAATCATAATTTAACAAACAATGTAAACGGGAGCATCACAAAAAGTCATGGAACATGTACAAAACGGAGAAGAAGTAGAAGAGCGAACCAAACGGAATAGGAATGGGATGAAAGGCAAACTACGTCAAGAACTATCAAGAGCTAATAGAGAGACAGTGAGATGGAGAAAATATGCATATGTGTTTGGTAATTTAAAATCAACTGTGTCAGGGAAAAAAACATCCTCTCTCACACAGAAAAAGAGCCCCATACCCGAATGGAATAAAACTACGACAACAAAAATGACAAAATAGGAAAAAAAAAGAAGTGAAGCAAAATAAGATTCTCCAAGTGAATGAATGTGTCATTGATTTTTATTTTTTTTCGTTTCGACGCCGAGTTGAGCGCATCAGGATTACTTATGCGTAGTCTTAGTACGTGTGTGGGTACATGTGGATGGTGATGTTGTGTTTCATTTAAAAGTGTTTTTCTTCACTCATTATCGTTCCTTCTTGCGCGATTTGTTGTCTTTCAAGTGCTTGAGTTGATGACTAACTACAGATATGACAATTGAATACGAATGGATGGGGGACGCTTTTCTCTCTCCGTGTGTGTGTGTGTGTGTGTATGTGCAGCCCATCATTGTGTTTGTAAGTCTGTGTGTGTGATACTTCATTCTTTGTAATATATTATTGAGCGAATGCCTACTATACACATTGTCAATTTTCATTTGAGGCATTTTTCCCAGGAATTAGCATAAATCCAAAATGACTTATTTTTAACCAAATTACAAGAAAAATGAAAGCGATGACAACGGATCACCCACTCGGTGGAATAAATCATTGTGCTGCGAAATACACAAAGCAGAAGCTGCATAAATTAACTGGCATAATTAAATGTCGGATGCGGCGAGCAAGAGCGTGTGTGTATGAGAGAGAGAGAGAGAGAGAGAGAGAGAGAGAGAGAGAGAGAGCTGGCCAGCGAACAAGCGAGTTGAGCTTGATTCCGATTCGGCCGTCGTCATTTATCACAACGGATAAATCAATGAATGGGAGCCACATCCGATGTGCCTCCGGAAAAGTTATTTCACCACCGCGTGCCGCAACAGTCCAGTCGAATCGAATGAAATTACCAAACGAAAAAACGGATAAAGAACATGAATAAATCTTGTTACATTAAAAGAATGAACAAAAAAAAGTTTTGTGCACTGAACGAGAGCCAACGAGCAAAACAGAAGACGAAGAAGAAAAAAAATCGGAAAATAGGCAACTGTTCATTCATTTTCAACTTTGGAACAAAGAACTACATTTTGCCATGAGAGTCTCTAAACTATCTGATATCAAACTACTCCACATATTTAACTTTCGGTTTTTTTTTCTCAACTCCTCGCTGTCAATCTCTCTCTCTCTCTCTATCTCTCTCTCTCTCTCTCGGTGTAATCAAGTTATCGATAAGTTTCAACGCTTGTTCCAATTTTAGTGTCCATCATAGGAAAGAAGAAGAAAAAACAACTAACTACAAGCATTGACCAAGTGAAACTGTTGGCAAAATGCAACGAAACGATGAAAATGCACATTCATATCTACACACACCGGTCATTACCATCAATTGACTCAACTCTATCTTAAAGTCTCTCATCTAACGCATTGATTTATCAGGTCTGCATTAAACTTATATTGCCTCTGCACCTTTTTAGTTGTTGTATACTCTTTTTTTTCGCTGTTCTCTTGCCGTTTGTCTCCATCGACATCGAGCGAGCGGAAGACAGAGCGAGATCGAGAGAGAAACACCAGCAACTAAACGGCGCACGAACAACGATTTAATCAGCTTGGAGCGACAACACAACCATCAAAATATAAAAACAAACAAGATCTAGAACAAGTTTGAATGCTGTATGTGCGCGCACAGAGCACCCGAGCTGCCCGTTTGATATCACGATTTGTCGTGTACACCGTGCACAGGTATATCGAGTAAATTTTTCATAAGCATTTAGATTAGATAAAAAACAAATAGAAAAAAAAGCGTACAAACACAATCACACACACACAGCCCCGATTGAACTGGCGAGATTTTGCTGCACTTCTCAACTGCACTGAATTGCAGTTCGAATGTGATACGAATGGTTTTGTATGAACGCTTTAATACGAATGGTCTATCTGTCTGTCTGAGTATATGGTATGTAATTATGTGAAACACCTAGATCTTGACGTTTGAAATTAAAAAAAAAAAATACCAACAACAACAACAACACACAGACAATTATTGTGAATGAATGGTTTTGAAATAAAACAAAAATAGGCCCACTCTCTTCATCATGGTTGCATCGTCATTAAGCGCGTAGCATTGGCAGAGACACTGTAGTTCAAGCGCGCACCCGAGCACTTTTCCATGAAATATTGAAAGAATTTCGGAATGTTTATCGACTTTATGCATGTAGTGTATGTGTTGTGATTGAGGGCCGCGTCCCCGTGTCAATGAACATTTTGCATGTGATTACCACTACCAAAACCCAATGAATGCAATCCTACGATGATATTGTTATTGTTATTATTGTTATTTTATTGCTATTATGATGTGTGTATGTGTGTTATTTTTCCTTTTACGAATTTATAGGCTGTACATCTGTCTAGTGGGTTGCCGACTCTCTCTCTCTCTCTCTCTCTCTCTCTTTCTCTTTCTCTCTTTCTTTCTTCCTCTCTTCCTCTCGCATGCATGTGCTCACATATATTCAAGGAATACACACATATTCATGTCGATCCGCTCTCTCAACTATATGCTGAGGACAACTCTACGGCAGCACCAGAACTACACAACAACAAAAGACCGCTGCTGCTGCTGCTGCTATAGTTGTTGTTGTTGCTGCTTTCTCTCTTGCATTCTACTCATTCTGTAAGCCCAAACCTTTTATTTCTTCTTTTTTCGTTGTACAATTTCGTTTATACATCGAACACATGCATCACATTTTGTATTACTTTCTATTCACGGCAATGTTCTGTCTCGCTTACTGCCAGCCTGCTTCTGTTGTTGTTGTTGTTTTTGTCGTGTATGTCGGGGCCGACGCATGCAGTTGTGTGTGTGTGCTACGAATACAAAAGTCTCTTTTTGACTCGTATGCGTCGTGCATTTTTGTTGGTTGAGAACGTTGTCCATGCGTTTGACAACATACACACACATTTCGATTCAATTTTTAAAAAAAGTGGACGTTAGTGCTCCTTTAAATCAATTGGATACAACGAGTCCGTTTATGCCATTTTCGTCTTTGCGACGCGATCTTCTTTTTCTTTATTTCTTTTCGGTTTGATTCGAAGTTTGTGTTTTTTTCCATTGTGTGTACGCATTTCGTACACATTCTTCTGTGGCTGACATCGCGGAATATGAATTAGTGCAAACGATGCAGCCGAGCAGTACATTTCTCAGAAATGCCAAGGGACAACCGACACAGAGCATAGTGAGCTCATAAAACCGGAGTCGTTGGCTCAATCGGCTCACACTCTTGCACCATTCGCATTCTGACTCTTAGAAACTGGTTGCGGAGACATGACTTCATTATTCGCTATTTATCATGCGTCACGTTTGGCTTATAAACAATTTGTTTGGATGTGTGTGCTAGCCGTCGGCGTGCGTTCTTCCAATCCCATGTGAGGACAATGATTCTTGCTTCTTTATCATGCAGCAACAGTAACAGCAGCTACGTTTGCGGCACATGTGTGTACATCGCAGCGATCCATCCATTGTGGATTGAGAGTGCAACACACAACACACAGCGACAACGATGCGACACAGTCCAGCAACAAACCATTCACAATAATAACAAACAGCACAAACACACGTAGCGCGAACTCGAAAAAGCCGACAGACGATACACTCGCATGGCACTCTTGCGATTGCTGGAGCGGCAGCAGCAGCAGCGGCAACAATACAGCTCAAGCAATATTTAGGGCCAGCAATTTTGAGCGGTGCATGGGATATTTTGGCGTGGAAGTGGGAAATTTTGTATTTTTTTCACTTTTCACAAGTAATTTATTCGTTTTGGTTAGTTAGGACTAAATTGATTTGATTGATAGCGCCTGCTCGAAGATTTTTACTCGATTATTCCACCAATTTTACCACAAATATGACACATATTGCTAACCTTAAAGATAAATCCTCTTTGGTCTTCTGCTGTTGATACATGGTCGTGTTGTACATTCGCGCAAACACATGTACACCGCGTTGTCTACTGCTGCTGCTGCTACCGCCACTCGTCATATGTGTATGCGGTGTATACGCAACCCGTACCCATCATAGCATAATTTGCTTCGTTATACACACAGAGCAGAGAATACAGAGAGCCCAAACGATATGGAACCGAGAGCTTCAGCCGTATACGTGAGCATGAGTTAAATTCAGTACTCAACATAATATGGTAGCGTCTGTTTCGGTTGAATTTTTACACGACACGCTCCTTTTTATCCAATTCTAACACAAACTGTCTCTCTCTCTAAGAAGAAACGAATTTTTCAGTTCAGTTCGAATGTTTTATTTTCGTTGTGTTTCGGTTTTTTCTTTTGGTCAGAATTTTTTTTCTTGATTTTTCACGTGGAATTTCTCAACACAATATTAATACGGTACGTTTTCAAAGACGAAAATAAATTGAACAACAAATAACAAAAAAAGCAGAGTAGAAAAAAAACGAATTGCGCTCGACAAAAGTTGAAAAGTGTGTGGTTTTGATGGGGCGAATAGTGAACAAAATTTCAACGTAAATTTTTGATGAGTTTTCGCGTACGTTTAGTGAAATGTTTGAAGGACTGATCGCATCGCGGCTCGAGAAAAACCAAATTATACGAAGAAATTATTCAAAGTCTACTCCAGTGAATTAGCTAACTATACTAATAACAATTCGGCTGAGTGTTATTTTGTTTTCGTTTTATTGGTATGTTGATGTGAATTTGTCGGTTTTGAAAAAAAAAATGAATTTTAAAAAATGTGTACATTTGTTTTTGTCACGTTGAGTGTTGCCGCTAAATGAAATTTAATTCACAGTGTGACAGACAGAAACAACGAGAGAGAAAATAAAATGTTGGTTGTGTGACATATTTTAAAATTGTGCCCAATTTTGCGTTGTTTTTTCCATCGTTTCGTTTCCATTCCGAAACCTTTGCCGGATAAAATAGTGTGCTATGTGCTGTGATCGGTTGGTTGGCTGATTGGTCGCGAACACGTTCGCGTCTAGTATGCAAACAACAGCAACTGAAAAACGCGGTGAAATAACACGAAAAAAAAACAATATCTCAAATCGATAAGCAAATAAATATTCCAGTGTGATGAAACCATTAATAACACGTTTGAAAGAGTCGCTCATGCTCGAATCGGCCACTAGCCGTAATTACGAATAAATCTAAATATCTTTTCGATGTGTGTTGCTAGTATTTTTTTTTGTTTTAGTTTTCTTGTCCAATATATATCGCTGTCATCGTCGTTGTTTGTTATTGTTGTTTTCTATGTGGTTTCGGTCGAGTGTGTTCGATTTCGATCTTTCGATCGCGCTGTCACTGAACCAAACTTACTTGAAACTGTGTCCAAAATCACTTGAAAAATTATTTCATGCAGCAAAAAGTGTACGAAAGAAGAAAAAAACTTGCGTCTCATGCTTACATTGTACAGAGGGGAATGAAATACATTGAATTGTACTGGATCAAGAATAAACGACGCAAAATTCCGCTGGATCAAAAACGAATGAATTCCAATTTATTGTTTCGCTGTTCAAATTATGGTGAATTTAATTTTTATATCTTCGCCATACATGCACACAGACAGACAGGCAGAAAAAGTACTTCTTTTAATTCGGTCGTTATTGTTTTTTTCCAATCACGATGTACGATCGAGTTGTGCTTGTTTGCATTAACTTTGTCTTTTATCATATTTTTTTCGAGAGAAGCACACACAGAGAAAAAAAAGGCAATAGCCGTGGATAATTGATGTTGATACTTTTTCCTGTATATCCTATTATTTATTGCTCATTTTCCGTTCGTCGTTAATATTGGGCAATATGTGTGTGTAAATCGTGGCGAGCAAACGAAATTAAATCTCTCCATCTCTTCTGTGAAAAACACGAATAAAAACAAAAACAATAAAAAAAAGAACTAACTATGGCCATAGATCACTTGGGCTTGATGCCAGTGATTGTGTAGTCTTTTGCACATGAAAATGAGATTGGCTTCAATCATACACACATACACGTTTGGTTTGCTTTCTTTTCTCTCTCTCTCTCTCTTTTTCTCTCTTTCTCTCTCTCTCTCTCTCTCTCTCTATCTCTCTCTCTCTCTCTCTCTCTCTCTCTCTCTCTCTCTCTCTCTCT